CAGCCACTGAGCTCTGCCGGATGCTGGGAGGCAGGGACAGGCCCTTCTGAGGAGCTCACAGTCTGGAGAAGGCACGCGCACTGGCGCTTCAGCCCCCTCGGGATTCGGCAGGCAGTGCTCCGAAACAGGGGGAAGTGAACTGCAGACAGAGAGCCCCCCAGACACGCCCTGAAATGCAGAAAGCACCCATCCTGGACTCGGGTCCAGGGCGAATGAGACAAGGGAGCATGAGCTCTGGGGGTGCTGGGGTGGGCCCCCGGGGGATGACCCCTCGTGGGGCAGAGCAGGGCACAAACAAGGTTGCACAGATGCCAGGGCAGACGCTCCCCAGACGGAGGGGGTGCAGTGAGAGGACGGGGGTTCCGGGGCACAGGAGGAGCCAACCAGACTACACAGAGGCTAGGTCAACCAGCACAGGCCTTGCTCTCCACACCAAGGATCTGGGGCTTTAAGCAAACGGCAGAGGGGGAGCAGCTGAGAGAGATAACCGGGTGGCAATTGCAGACCGCTTCAGCGGCCAAGAAGCCGGACAGGAGGGTGAGAAAATCACTATGTCCACGCAGATCTCACCATCATATGTAGCGCCCACAACAACCAAACACCGTCAGCGGGAGACGGGACGACCACAGGTGGTCCACAGGGCGGAACGCAGTGCGGTCACAGGAGTGACCCGTGGAGGCTCACAGGCCACGGGCGAACCAAGGAAGCATGGCCCTCGAGAGCAGCAGTCGCAAACACACACGCTGCCCAGCTGCAGCGCCGCGACCACGCGCAGGCACCCGCGGGGCCCACGTCAAACGGGGAGCGGCTACTGATGGGCTCGAGGCCTCCTTTCAGACTGATGAAGACACTATAAAGCCGGCTGTGGTGATGGCTGCATACCTCTGTGAACACGTTAAAATGTACAATTTTCAGTGGGTGATGTTTATCTTATGTGAAGTATAGCTCAATAAAAAACAATATAGAGAAAAAAATATAAGGGGCTGGGCAACACGGACTTATGCTCAAGACCTCAGCCCGAGATCACACCGGGAGCTATGGCACTGGTGTTCCTGGGGACCAGCCCGCCGTCAGGGTGCAGGACTGGCTTCTCTCACTTGGCAAAATGTTTCCAAGATTCATCCATGTTGTATCATGTAGCAAATCTTCCAAGCCATCAAAAGAAGGATCTTTCCATTTACTCAGATTTCAATTTCCTTCACAGTGTTCTGCAGTTTCCAGCAAACAAACATTGTGCCCCCTTGGTTAAATTTATTTATAAGTATGTTATTGTTTTTTTAAAATTTTTACTTTATAGTGCTGTGTTAATTTCAGGAGTACAGCAAAGTGACTCAACTGTACACACACAGGCGTGTGTTCCTTCTCAAATTCCTCCCGTTTAGACGACTGGGGTGGCGAGCAGGGTCCTCTGTGCTCTGTGGGAAGGAGGTCTCTGTCGTCCATCTGGAGCAGACGCCGCAGTGTGCAGCGTCCAAACTCTGCTCCACCCCCGCCCTCCCCCTCCCCCCCGGTAAGCACTGGTTCCTTCTCCAAGTCTGTGACTCCATTTCTGGTTTGTAATAAGTTCACTTGTGTGATTTTTTTTAGATTCTGCATGTGAGTGATACCATATTTGTCTTTTTCTGACTTACTAAGTATGATAATCTCCAGGTCCATCCAAGTTGCCGCAAATGGCGTTATTTCATTCGTTTTAATGGCTGAGCAACATTCCGTCACATACACATACCACACTTCTTCGCCCACTTGTCTGTTGATGGACATCTAGGGTGCCTCCATGTTTCTGAAATTATACACAGCACTGCAGTGAACACTGAGGTATATGTGTCCTTCTGAACCATGTTTTCCTCCAGAGGCATGTGGGATCTTAGTTCCCTGGCCAGGGATCAAACCTATGTCCCCTGCAGTGGAAGTGCAGAGTCTTAGCCACTGGGCCACCAAGGAAGCTCCCCAGATACATCCTTCTTTATGACGCTGCTATAAACGGAAATTCTGAAGTTCATTTTCAGTTTTCATTGCTAGTATAGAGAAATGCACATAATTTTTATAGGGCTGCAAGGAGGTCAAACCAGTCATTCCTAAAGGAAATCAGTCCTGATCGTTCACTGGAAGGACTGATGCTGAAACTCCAATACTTTGGCCACTTGATGCGAAGAACTGACTTATCTGAAAAGACCCTGATGCTCGGAAAGACTGAAGGCAGGAGAAGGGGACGACAAAGGATGAGATGGTTGGATGGCATCACTGACTCAATGAACATGAGTTTTCGTAAACTCCGGGAGTTGGTGATGGACAGGGAGGCCTGGCGTGCTGCAGTCCATGGGGTCGCAAAGAGTCGGACACGGCTGAGCGACTGAACTAAAGTGTATCCTGTAACTGCTGGATTTGTTCACTAGCTCCACCAGTTCTTATGTGACTTCCTGGAGGTTTGCTAGGCAGCATTCAAGTCGTCTGCGCACAGACAGAGTCTTACCTTTTCCTTCCCCATGCCTTTCCTCCCTTTCTCGCACCCTGCTGCCCCGGAGGGAGCGTGCAGTAAACGGCGAGTAGAGACGGTGAGGGCTGTCCTTCCTGCTCGTGCTCACCAGTGACTGTGATGGCAGCTCTGGGGCAGCTGGAGACAGCGCCCTTCTGGTGCTGGTTTGGCGAGTGTTTTCACCATGAATGGGTTTTGCGTTTTGTCGAGTACTTTTTCTGCACCCACTGAGATGATTCTGTGGTTTTTCCCTTTTATTCCACGACATGGTGTGTTACTTTTAATTTTCGTTATGTTGAACCAACTTTGCATTCCTGGGATAAATCAAACTCAGTCACAGTGCACAAGTCCTTTTATTTGCTGCTGGATTCTGTCAGTATTTTATTGAGGACTTTTGCATAAGAAATATTGGTCTGTAGTTTTCTTTACCTGTGATGTCTTTTTCTGGCTTTGTTAATCAGGGTGATACTGGCCTCACGGAACGAACAAGGACATGTTCTCCATTCCATTTTTGGAAGAGTCTGAGAAAGTCGGCTGTTAATTCTTTGTAAACGTTTGGTAAAATTTACCAAGGAAGCCATCTGGTCCTGGGCTTTTCTTTGTTGAAATTGTTTTGATAACTAATTCTGTTTCTCTAGTTGCGATAGGTCTATTCAGATTTTCTTTCTTCTTGAGTCAGTTTTTTATAGTTTGTATAATTGCAAGGAATCAAAATCATCAAGGTTAAGTAATTCGTTGGTGAACTGTTCACAATATTCCCTTTAATCCTTCTCATTTCTATAAGGTCATTCAGTAAAGTCCTCGCTTTTACTCCAGAGTCTAGGAATCTCAGCCTCCTCTTTTTCTTGTCAATCCGGGCAAAGGCCTGTACATGTGCTGATCTCGTCAAAGAACCAACTGCTGGTGTCAATTATCTTCTCTGCTGATTCTATTTCTGTTATTTCTGCTCTAATCTTTATCGTTTCCTTCCTCTGACTGCTTTAGGCTGAGTTTGTTCTTTTCTACTTTCTTCAGGTAGAAGGTTAGATCAGTGACTGGAGATTTTCTTCTTTCTAAAGGGAGGTGTTCACAGCTAGAAATTCCCTAAGAGCTCCTTTTCACCATCTCCCACAGTTTTGTTATGTCATGTTGTGAACATTTCTTCCACTATTAATTTCTAACTTCACTCAACTGTGATCAGAAAAGACACTTTGTATAATCTCAATCTTGTAAAATTTACTGACGTTTGTTTTATTACTCAACACACAGCCTATCCTGAATGCTCCATGGATACCTGAGAAGAATGTACTTTGCTATTGATGGATAGTGTGTAAGAGATGTCTCACAGGGCTGATTAGCACACAGTTTATGAATACTGTATATGGTTTGGGTCTCGTGTCCTTGGCTAGGTCTTTCTATCAGGCCGTGTCCCAATCATTTACTGCTCTGCTCATTCTGCTAGATGATGGTTTTATAAGTGCACAGCTCAGTGGCATTAAGTGCACTCACTCATACTATTGTACAACCATCACCACCAGCACGCATTTCCAGAACTTTCTTCAAGCATGGTGGCAACTCTGTGCTCTTTAAACAATGACTGCCCTTGACACCAAGCCCCTGGCAACTACCATTCTACTTTCACTCACCATGAATCTATTTTAGGGACTTCAAGTAAGTGGAATCATAGAAGGTTTGTACTTCTGAGTGTTGGTTGTTTCATTCAGCATCATGTCTCGGAAGAAACCTCAACGTCCATTGACAGATGAATGGATACAGATGTAGTGCATAAAGATTATGATGGACTACTACTCAGCCATAAAAAGAATGAAATAATGCTATTTGCAGCGATGTGGACGGACACAGAGATTATCACATTAAGTGAAGAAAGCCAGAGAAAAACAATATATGCTATCACTTATGGGTGGAATCTAAAAAAATTTTACAAATGAACTTCTTTACAAAACAGAAACAGACTAAGAGACGTAGAAAACACACTCATGGTTCCCAGACAGGACAGTGGTGGAGGGGGATGAATCAGGAGTGGGGGATTAGCAGATACGAACCACTGCATATAAACCAGACAGACAACAAGGTCTGCTGCACAGCCGGGGAGCCACGCTCAGCGCCTTGTAGCGGCCTGTACTGGAGGAGAGCCGTACGAATCACTGCGTCGTTCTTCTGACCCCCGAGCCTAACCCCCAGAAGGGCAGGCGGCAGAACAGCCTGGCTGCGAGGTGACACGGGCACAGACCGCGCAGCGAAGGGGACGCTGAGGGGACAACTCGGAGGAGCGGAGACTTTAAACCTGATGAGCAACATCTTAATTTAAAGGAAAATATGTTTTCACTCTCAGTCCAGGTGAGGCCTCCACAAAGCGCTCATCCAGGAGGGACTTGGGTGAGAACTGCTGCCGCAGCTGAACGGTGGCAGCGTGGTGGTCCGCTGCTCTGGAAGAGAAAGCACTGTTTCTCCCGGGACCCCGCCACGTCCGGGCTTGCGCTGCTCAGCTGCCAGCAGCAGCTGCCCTGGACGGAAGGACCACGGTTACCTGATAGCCCTCGGTTTTCTTCTGACACCACTTCAGCAAGGCGTTCCTCTTGGACCCTCCATATTCTCTTGCCAAGGCTGACAGAGGATCCTTTCTTTCTTCCCTGGGAAGTGGAGAGAAGAAACATTTCAACTGGTGTTCCTTATCAGAGCACCCTTCCAAGCCAGAAATCCAACAAAAACAGAACACCTCAACAGAACAAATGCACCCTCGGAGGCGGACAACAGCCAGATGCATCTGCACTCGTCTGATTCTGCTGTCAACTTTTATGGGTCCTGCCGACCCACCGCTGTTTGGGGCTCAGTCGCCTGAAGGGAGGCCCTGCTCGCCACCCAGAGGGGAATTGCGCAGGGCCAGTGTGACATGGCCCGGGACACTCAGCGCAGCGGCCGCGCCGGCAGCGTTCGAGAGCCGCCACGGTGCCTTCCCCTCGGGCCTTGGCCTTCCTCGTCGCTACATTTCATTTCACGCAAACTCTATGTCCTCGGCCACTTCACCTTCACTTTAAAGCACTGACTACAATCACAAAGGACAGGGTTAACCCAGCTGAAGGAACACTCCTGCCTTCAGAGAGCACACAACTGGGGAAGCAGATATAACAAAAGCGCGTTAAGCACGAACCACACCCACAGCAAGTCTCAAATGCCTTTACTGCTAAATCACACATTCTTTATTGACTGCAAGTAATTAGCATTTTACCTTGCACAAAAAATAGAGTTTTTCTGTAAACTCACTCACACGGCACCTCTTTACGAGGCACAACCATGTTAGGCCATCCATATGCAGGTGCCAGGCGGTGGGCAACACAGGGCCCGCCCCTCAGGGAGCGTCATCGTGTAGTATGGGATGGACAGAACACTGAAGCTGGGTGAAGAATCAACAGCTACACAAGGGTCATCCCCGAAGATTCTATGTGGGGTACTTCAGGGCACTCTCAGGACGCAGAATAACATCCTGCCCCAGACCAGACACTGAATCTAAAAAGACTGTGGCCGGCATGGTGATGGAGCAAGGGAGACCCAAACCCGATCCCTCCAGCACCAATCCTTCCTTCCAGGGACCACTCCAGGGGCAGGACAGAACACAGGAGCCCGCGGAGAGTGAGCTCTGCAGAACAAGCCGTCCCTGACAGCAGATTCCAGCCCCACAACCGCACACCTAACAGTCCCGCCAGTGTCCCAGACATCACAAGTGGCGCAGTGCCCTTCTGTCTGTATTCACCCCACAAAGGATGGGAGGACATCAGGGCACGCATGAAGAAGGAAGCTTTTCCCGTTGAGAGGTGCAATGAAATAGCACCAATTTGTGTTTGTTTCAGAACCAAAAGTAAAATACAAAAGTACTCCCACCTGCAGTCAGACCCCTGTCTTGAAGAATGACACTTTTATGCGTGTGCTGGCTCACCATATTTCTATTCTAGCTGAAAGGGCTCAGAGAGGTTTGTCACAACAGCACCGAACACAGGAAACGAGAATGAAGATAAAGGTGAGACATGAACAAAAGAGCAAGCCAAGAGACAAACAGAAAGAACTGCCAGAATCACTGTGAAAGGCTCCCTCCAGCTCACACAGCCGTTCTGCTACAGAGACAGCCTAAAACAGCATCGGTGCCCAGCGCGGTCCACAGGCAGGACGAGAAGCTGCAGAAGGGAGCCTCCGCGGCTGAGGGGCAGTCTCCTGTGGCTTCACCGTCAGACAAGGAAGCCAAGGCCCAGAGAAGCCCTGGGGAGGGCGCGGCCTCTCGCAGAGGGGCCGGAACAGTGGGCGCCCCGCCTGGCGGCACCAGACATGGTCCACGTGGACAGCGCTCCCCCCCCTCAGCCAGAGAGATGGGGGCCCCTGCTGCTCACTGCGTCCGGGGCCGCTCTTCTAAGAGGCCGGCCCCCGAGAAGCAGGATGTTAAACCTGAGTGTGCAATCTGAGTTTTAGAGTCCAGATAGTCCACTTTTGCTCAGACCTGTAGGTCAATAAACAGGAAAGGTCCAAAACCACTGCCACCGCCCTCTTCGTGTTCAGCTTCCACGTTCACTGAGCCTCAGCCTGCCAGCACCTGCCCTCCTTCCCCAGCCCCAGCCCTCAAGGCCCTGCTCGAGGTCCCCGCCTCCAGCATCCCCTTGCACTCCACCCACACACGGTGTTCAAGTGCCACTAACCCACAAAAAACAAAAACACCAGCTGCTTGGGGGAAATAATTATTTCTGTAACTTTGTTTTACTTTTGTACTTTTTATCATCTTCCTCCACTCTGGGCATAGAAGAGTGGATCAGAAAACACTTGGCCCACAAAGAACCCACACCAAGGCTGAATGCCCTTATTTCACGACCCGATCATTCACTCCCCAACGGCCCAGGATGGCCCGAGGGGAGTGCCCCCGCAGGAAGCGCCCTCTACCTGATGCGGCTGCGGGCGGTGGGGGTCACGGAGGCCGTGGGCGAGGAGGAGAGCGACAGCTGCGGCGAGGTGGCCCCCATGGCCATGAGCGCGGCGGGCGACGCGCCCTCGGGAGCTGACACTTCGCGCTTCATCTCCTCGCTGCTCCGTCTGGACACTGCAGGTTAGAGCAGAAGCAGTTCACACGGAGCTCTTGAGACATCTCGTTCAGCAGGTCCCCACAGAGCAGAGACCCCGCCCCCNNNCCCCCCGTGTGCGTTACTCCGCCAGGCCTGGCTCTCGGACCCCATGGACTGCAGCCCACCAGGCTCCTCTGTGCATGGCATTCTCCGGGCGAGAACACTGGAGCGGGCTGCTCCAGGGGTCAGACTCGGGTCTCACCCGCATTGCAGGCAGATTATTTACCTTTGAGGCCACAAGGGAGGGCCAGAAACTATCACACGGGAGGAAAAACTAACATTGTCTTTATCTGACTGATAATGTGAAAGGATTTTATTTTTTTCTCTTAAAAAACTGTAAAAAAACAACAAAAAAAGGTAAGCTGTTGAAGTGTGCACAGAAGCCCACATCCTAGCACACACCTGGCCCACCATGAGTCCCAGCAAACCTGGTTCAATCACAAACACGACCAAAACCAAAAACACTTGCTCTCAACTACAATCAACAAAACCCTTCTGAACTTGGCCAAAAACACTGAAGAGACAAAAAGGAAAGATAGGGGCCACACGTAATTTGGGGTCAAGCCAAATTTTACAAAAACAGGAATCAATGAGCTGGAAAAGCAAAAGATGCCACGTCAAGTCAACTACTGAGAAGCAAGAAACATCAGGAAAGTCCTACCTGGAGAGTTTGACAGAGTCCGGCACGCACCGTGGTGGACTCACAAAGCCCTGAGAACTGGAAGTTTGGAAGCAGCCCCTGACAACAGGGCCACAGGGGAGGCGGCTTTCTGTCCACAAGGCGCAGGGGACCAGCGGGTGCTCACAGAGCTGGGCTGAGCATGAGAGCCATGAGACGAGACCAGGCCCTGACCCCAGATGGGCCGCCTCAGCAGGCGCGGGAGTGGGAGCCGTTGCAGTGCCAGGCCGGACTGGCTGGGACGCAGGCCTGCCCGCACCAGTCGCCTCCCCGGCCGGCCAGCTAGCACCTCCTGGCTGTGGAGGGCCTGCATCTCTGTATCTGCGCAGTGATGGGCCCCACAGCTCGGAGGAGACACGCTTTCTCCTACAATAAGGTCTTAGTAAAAGGATGCACTTGCGCGTCCGACAGAGGTTTATAATCATTCTGCCTTTTTCCTCCACTGTCAAATCTCTGTATAAATCTGAAGTTTCTTTCAAGTGCTGTGCTAGGAAACGGGGTGAGAAACCTTTGTAATTTCACAGAAAGCAAAGGAAACAGACTAAGAACGGGAAGAACCCTGTGACAGGAAAGGGCTCCGGACCTTGGCTTTGCAGGAGAGATTTTGGTTGGACTTTCCACTCAGCTAAGGAGTCCTAGAACTACCAAGTGAAATTCACATCCAAGTGGGATGTTGCCCACAGGAGGCAGGGGTGAAAAACCTCTCCTTTGCTGGTCCAACTTCTAGCTGAGCTATTAGGCTTTAAAAAAAGCCACAAAGGGAAAATAACAAGGATGCTGAGAAACAGGAACGTCAGCTCAAGGAAACCAGCACACCACGGCCACCAGACGCGGCGCCAAGACGCGTGTGGCCCTCCACGCGCCGACACCCGGCTTCAGAGCCCTCCGGCGTGCTGGGAGACAACCTCCACACCAGCCACAGCACATCCTGGGCAAAGATCTGGCCTGCTGTGACTACGGCGTCTCTGATAGCTCAGCTGGTGAAGAGTCCACCCGCAATGCGGGAGACCCGGGTTCCATCCCTGGGTTGGGAAGATCCCACATTTGTTAAGTGAATGGAACTATCTAGCTCTTTTTTTTAATTTTTGAAGTCAGGGCCAAGAAATATGATTTCTATGAAATCTGTAAGATACAACGGGGAAATTAAGAGTGAAAAACAATCAATTAAAGAGGCAGGTAAGGTTAAACGAGCCTAAAGAGAAGGCACTCCGTCCCACCAGCAGACCTTCCTGACGCGTCTCTCAAGGACGCCTCAGGTGAAAGGCACTACCTGAGATGGTCTTTGCGCTCTCCATGGCAGGTACTCTCGGCAGAGAAGCAGGTCGGCTGGTCGAAGACGTTCTCAGCAGATGCTCTGAGGGTGGAAAGTGCCACAGTGAGGAGACCTGACCCCGAACTTCAAGGGCACAGGGAGCAGGCAGCTCTCCTCTCGCCCAGAGGAGAGGCTTGTCCCTCCTTCCCGTCCAGGCCCCTTGACAGCTCCCAGAGTCCCCAATACAAACACCTCCCACCAACAAGGGCCATTTCATTCACTTGTATTTCCAGGGATGAGACATTCAGTGCAGACCAACGCTTCCAAACCACTGAGAGCTACTTCCGTCTGATGTAATTCAACCAGAAGCCCAAGACGCTCTGCCGCATCAAGGCCTAAAGGCACTCAGTCCACACCGTGCCCTATGAGCCTACAGTGTGTGTGGCGGGGGGGCGGGCGGGCACACAAGTTCACGGCCAGGACGAGTCAGGGCCATCAGGCCAGAGGGAGAGGCCACCCGCCACGACGTGGGCGACGGGAGGCCTCCGGCGCTGACGAGACCACCCGGCCGTGCCGCTGGAGGACAGGCTGGGGAGCGGAGCGGGCCGCGGGGGCGGCTCTGGGGCGGCGTGGCTGCTGTGTGAACACCAGCCTGCGGGCAGCGAGCACCCCCAGGGAGCACAGAGGCAGGCCGCACCCCACCTGTCCGCCCCCTTGCTACACCAGCCCGGGTCGGGGGGCTCTGGAGTCCCCGGGGCAGCAGCTCCCCTGCCTCCTGGCCCAGCCATGTCACTGCCCTGGGGCCAAGCTCCAACACCCCTTCCCCGGCACCTGCTTCCCACAGTGGGCACCCCAGACCCAGGCCAGCACACCTCTGAGCCCGGCGCCGCTGCAGTCAGGCCGGGAGGACAGGCACAGGAGGGCCAGACGTGCTGTGTGTGCCTGGGCCACGCGCCAGGTGGGGGCCGCATGAAGACTGCTCACCTCTTCTGAGAGCAACACACTTGGAAGGGAAAGGAGAGTGACCGAAACAAACGGCCCCGCGCGCGTGTCTGTAAGAACAGCCTGCCTAACACACACTCCCTCTCAGCTATCAGGGTGTCAGCTGCCTCTCCAGGACAGCGTGTCTCTCATACTGACACGCACTTCCCCAGAGTGGGAGACTGTGCCCACATGGCGCCCTGGAGGGAAGGCAGGGCAGGGGGACTCACACCACCCCGAGCCACTACCCCTTCCTCGTCCTGAACCGACACACCCAGGGCAGGGCCTCCATCCTGACCCCGTGTGGCTGCCCACGTCCTCAAAGAAGCACACACGGTATACAAAGCCGGACTAAGCAGAGCTGTTCTTGGAGAACACGGAAGCCATAGGAAACAGGAGTCAATATTTTAAATGGAGCCCAAGTGCCCACTTCAGTTACAAGACGGGTCCTGGCCTAGAGGCTTCATCTCCGAGGAGACGACCGTGAGACCAGGTAACAGACGCACCGGTGAAGGCGAGGGCCTCCAGGCATGCAATGGGGGCGCAGCGCAGGGACGCCCACCCACCCGCCGCAGCCGGCTCACTGCATGTTCAAGGACCCAAGTCGTCTCAGCTCAGCACAGGCTGACACCTCCCTTCTGAGGAGGCACCTTCCACCGGGCCCAGCGGGGCGGCCGCACCCCCCGCACGCACACACCTCCGGTCTGCCGCATGGGTCACCGGCGGACGTGAACTGCCAGCGCAACGCTTCGGAAAGGCAGTCCAGCGCGTCAGACAGACGAGGATGGCAGGAGACAGCAGATGCTGCGGTGACCGGGTCTGTTCTCGGAGCCCCTCTAGTCTTTAACCCATGCGTTACACAGAAACCACAGGCCCTGGGCAACACGTGAGGTTGCAGCAAGGAGGGAAGCAGGCAGGACCTGCCCTCGTGGAGCTGAGGCTACGGCGGAAGTCAGACGTTTAAGACAACCGCGTGCGAGGGACGCAGGAAAGCAGCAGCACCGGGGCCGTGAGCTGCCCGAGGAGTCTGGGGAGGCCTCCCTGGGAAGCAACGCTGCAGGGAGTAGAAGGGTGACCGACAGCCTTTACGCAGGCACAGGAGAGGGGCTTCCTCAGTGCTCAGCAGACACCAGGAAACGCCTGGACCAGCAGCGCCGCGAGGGCGGGGCTGAGGAGCGCGGCCCCACCCCTGGGGGCGGGGCGTCGGGGACACGGTCCTGGGGGCGGGACTGAGGAGCGCGGCCCCACCCCTGGGGGCGGGGCTGGTGACAACCTGGTGGCAGGAAGCCATGCTGGCCGGGGTCGGAGCCGCTGCAGATGCTGGGGACAGAGGGGCAAGTGCGCTGAGGAGACTGGAGCAGGAAGCGGTGGGCGAGCGAGGTGAAGAGGCGGGAGCCGCGGGGTGGGCCCACGGCTGTCCAAGCCACGCCTGCCCGAGCCACGCCCGCGGGGTCAGCTGGGGCCCAGGCGGAGGAAGGAAGCCGCACAGAGACTCCCACCCACCCTCCTCATCAAATTTACAGGCAGCGCAGTGGGTTTAAAACCAGGAGCCGAGGGCTCCCCTGGAGGTCCAGGGGGTAGGACTCTGCGCTCCCCCTCAGGACACACGTTCGATTCCTGACCCAGGAACTAAGATTCTGCATGCCACAGGGCAGGGCCAAAAGAGAAGAAACACCTGTGACAAGAAAAATATGTGACTTCTTTCCACTTTTCTGCGTGCTTGAAATGTTTCATGATAATATGCTGGAGAAAATATGACAGCCTAGACAGTCTGGTACCCACTCCAGTGTTCTCGCCTGGAGAATCCCAAGGACGGCGGAGCCTGGTGGGCTGCCGCCTATGGGGTCGCACAGAGTCAGACACGACTGAAGCGACTTAGCAGCAGCAGACAGTCTGGTTTATGAAGACAAACACCAAGAGCCACCCTCAGAAGTGGTCAGATGCACGCGAGGCTGCAAACACAGGAGGGCGTGGTCTCTCTCTCAACCTCTCCCGGGAAGCTCCCCGCTCGGGCTGGGCCAGAGTCGGGCTTCAGCCCACCCTCTGGAGAAGGCAAATTGCTGTGAAACTTTTCAATAAGAGGTTCTTTTCCTTCTAACTTAAAAGACGTGGCTTTCTAGTGAAACCTCTGAACTTTGTATGACATTTGGTACGTGTACCCTTACCGTAAATCAGTTTTTTCAAAATACTGAATTTTTTTAAAGGTTTACATCTCTGTCCCCAAGTTAACACAATTCAGTGGGATGATCACAGCAAGACTCTCCTTGCAGAAGGTGACTGTCCTTGGACCGGTCAGCTTTCTTGGATGTCTGAGCTGATGACACCAACATGACCCTCAGGCCACGCCAACCCTGGGCAACCCCAGCTCCCCAACCGTCTGCATGACCAACTGAGGTCTCCGCCTGACCACGAACCTTAAAGATCACTGTGCAAGGGGACAGTGAAGACCCCCCCAACTACCTGGATCCACGTACCTGCTCAGGCTACAAACACTAGCTCACATGCAGTCTACAAAGGCCCACCTGTTATGACCCAGACCACTGAATTCAACTGCCAACCATACCAACAGAAGTCTACTTAGAACAAGATCTCTGGTCTGAAACACTTTCCTGTGTCTGACATATAAGCATGACAAAGAACAGAAAAAAAGTCACATCTTTCATAATATACTTCACTGGAAAAACCAACAAATTATCCGATTTAAGTACAGCAGAACAGAGGCGGCCCTTTCGAACCCCTGGGCTCTTCAGACCGCCCAGCACAGACTGTGCTGTCTGAGCTGCGCCAGGGCCCAGGACGCGGCGCAGCAGCACTAGGGTTTCCCCGCGCAGTCGGCCTGGAGAGCCACGGTGGCTTCCGAGGGTCGAGGCCTAGCCGGTGGTTCTTGGTTTTTTAAGTGGTTTCTTTCCCTAGTGAGTGTTTAAGATAAAAGGCTACACTATCAACAAATTCTCCAGTAAGAAGTCACCTGAAAGTGTTTCCTGCTCCCTGCATTTGCAGTTTCAGCCAAGCCCAGTAAAGGTATCCGAGCAGACAGACCTGGAGAGCGAGGGCAGCTCTCGCAGGAGGACCGCAGACCCCCGTGCCCCGTGGCATCGTCACCTGACCCTGAGCAGCAGATAAACAAAAAGGAGCCAGGAAAAGCCCCGGACACTCACCTCATCAGTCTGTGTCCTCAACAACCCTGGCCCACACACCTGATACACCCATTTTCCACCAACAAAACCAGGGTCACGGGAAACTCCACAGCAATCTTTGCCCAGTTCCCCAAGCTGGTCCTTTCCTAACAGCCACTTGGGTGCTTGTGAAATGAAGTGCCCCTGCCCCTTTCCCAGACAGTCCACGTCAACACATCTGAGGTAAAGCCCAGGACTCCACATTTTACTGAGTGACTCAGGTAGAGCTCATCAACAGGTAAGTTTGAAAAACACTGCTCGTTCTAAAAAGGTTTCCCCATAAACAAGTTACAGAACACACACAGGAGAGGGGGCCCCTAAGTACCCCTCACAGGCCATGGAGAAGGGCCCAGCGGGGAGACGGGAGCACACACAGAGCCGGCATGAAGGAACCAGAAGAGCGTCCGGGGAGGGAGTTCAGCACAGCCAGACGCAGCCCGCAGCCACCGACACCATGGACCACGGCCGCTCAGGGGACAGGGGAGGGGGCGAGGCTGACCGCAGGGGATTGAGCCGGGGGCGTGGGACCTGTGGGCCCACACACAATCTGGGACCCTGGTCAGGATGCACCGGGAGCCTTTAAAGCGCCACACGCCTTCCCTGGGCGGAGGGGAGACCTCGGGTCCCACCAGCGGGTGAAGTGGAGGCGGCAGCCAGGGTGGAGAGCGAGCCTGCAGGGTGGTGCAGCAGCCTGCCCCGCCCCGCTGCGCCCTGCCCAGCGCCGGTGCGAGCCCAGGAGGCAGGAGGGCCCCGACACGGCCCGCCACAGCACTCCAGCCCCGCCCGAGGAGGAGGCGGCGGGGAGGAGAAGGGCCCCTGACGCCCAGCGACGGCGCCACAGAGAGCCCGTGCAGACGGCACTGCCCGGGGCCGGCTCTCAGTCTCCACTCCTCTCACAAGTGCCCTGGAGCACAGGGGCCAGGCTGCTGGCTCCAACGCTCAGTAACTACGCGAACCTGTGTTCCTGAGACGCTCAACTGCCTGAAGCCTCACTGTCTGTGTTTTATAAAGTGGGGCTAACCGCACATGCCCCACGAAGCACTGTGAGAACAGGGCCCAGCAATGTGCAGACTCCTGTCGCCCTTGGTGACACCAGGAGCATCGTATTCCAAGATGTGTCTACTAGTAACTACTCCCTGATCTGTAAACAGGACACGTTCTTAGTAAACCTATGACACAGATGTATACTGGGGTAGCGGAAATAATAAGAACAAATGAAAAAGAGCCAGATGAAGAAAATTAACAACAGCAGTGAAACACGGTGCCCAGACGTACCTTGAACAGGGATCTCCCCGTAGTTTGGTCTCTTATCTGAGAGGGCTGTCAGGGGTTTGGACGTGGAGATCGGTCCACTGATGGAATGTCTCTGAAACCACAGGACAAAGGGTGTCAGACAGCACTGTCCTAGTCACTCAATGCTGGCATCACGGAGGGGACGTCCTCCAAACTTGCTTTCTCCCCCGCCAGCCCCCTCCTAGAGGCCTGGGATATTCAGGGTCTTTCCAGTTTCCACATAAACTTCGCATGAAACCATCCACTTCCACAGGACTGTGTGCGGGGACAGGCTGGGTGTGCAGCCCCAGCTGAGGGAGGGTGTGAGACCCAGCGATACAGCCTCGCAGCCCGTGAACGTGACGGGTCTCCCCATTCCTCACCCCTCTAACTCCTCTCAGGGTCATCTCATGGTTCTCCCTGTGAGGTCGTGCACAACGCTTCATTCAGCATATCACTAAGCATCTCAGCTTCTGGCTGTGGGCTGGGCTGACAGAATCGAGGAGACAGGGAGAGGAGTCCCCCAGACAGGACCGAGGCCTCTCCCCCCCATCACCCTGCCACACTCTGCTCATCAGAAGTGAGTCACGGAGCCCAGCCCCTCCCGGAAGGGGCAGACGATACTCGAGCGTGGCAGAGGAGGCCAGGATCTCGGGAGCGGTTCAGAGCCCGCTGCCCCATGACTGATGGATCTCCTCAGCCCTTTGCTTCTAAGGTCGTCCAGGGCAGGGCTGTTTAGCTCCACTTCACAGCGTGGCCCTTGAGGGTCCCTAATGAACGCTCCAAGGATTCAGAGAGGACTTCCCACGGTGGGCAGAGGGGCAGAGGCAAACGAATCCTGCCCCACGCAAACCCTGAGAAACGCCGGGCCGCCAGAGCCCCAGGAGCCACTCTTCCCTGCAGACCGGCCCCTGCCCGGCCGGCCGGGCCCAATCTGTGCCCCGCGTGTCGGCGGCCTCAGCCGGGACCCAAGGGGAGCCCTGCGGGGCTCCGGCCTTGTCCACACGGCTCTCTGCTGCAGGCACCCCCCACCCCAGGGCTCGTGCTCCCTGCTGGTCTCCCCAAATGCAGCTCCGCGTGGGCGCCTCCTCCCTGCTTACCACGGAGAGCAGCCTGGGCCACAGCAAAACTCGGCCCCAGGCCACCTGTCCGGCGACGTCTGGACAGAACTGCCTCTGACCCCTGCTCTGGCCTCCCGGCTGCCCATGGTGCAGAGCCACCCAGCCAGGACCCCTCAGGGCCTCAGTGAGGCCTGAGACCCACCACTCCTCACCTTGGGCCCTGTTCCCAGGGATACTTGTGTTCACCAGGAAAAGGCCTGGGGGTCTATGTGTTTACAATTCCACACGAAGTTCGTGCACAATCAGGTTTGAGAAGCGTGTGCTAGCTAAACAAGTGCTAAAATGTTATTGACTGTAGCTTCTATTAATAATTACTAGTTTGTTTTCCAAGGTAGAAAAATGAAATTTTTTAATCTCTTATCTTTACAAAAGTTTAGAAATTGACATTATGAACATTAAACCTCAGGTGACAACCACTATTTACAGAAACTTCACCTTATTTGAAGATTATGATATCTTAGTGCCTTTATTTGCTTTCATTTATATTTTCATGCCTTTATTATTTTTTTATTTTCATGCCTTTAAAAAATCCGATTAATAGAGTGCAAAGAAGAAAGCTCCCTACAGATAGAATACGGAGTTTCCTCTGCCTCCTTCCAAACTGAGAGTGTAACACTTCCCGCACACACGAAAGCACAGGCGCGCACCTGCATGGGGGAGACGGCAGCCGCGGGGGGCGTTTTCATGGGGCTCGGGCTCAGAGGCGTTCGGGGGATTGCTGCCGTGGCGGGGCTGGGCACTGGAAGACAGGAAACACACGGTGAACGAGGACATGCCGGAGAACAGCGGAAGCTTCACAAACGCCCCCCACAGGGAGCACCGACCAGCCAGCACTTGGGGCTTCCGGGGAACAGCTGCCACCCCACCTCCTCAACCCCAGCAGCCCTGCGCAAGGGGGACAGTCTGCTCCCTAGACAAGTGGTGCTGACTTCCAGGCCTGGCTGTGCCGGTCACGTCACTCTTGCTGCTTAATTACATGGTTAAGTGCTCCACAAACCGAGGACGCCACGTGCAAAAACCTCAAGAGTGCTTCTGTGGCTCCATCAGGTGAGAGGCTGCACACACGGTGGGCATTCTTGGCATGTTACATGAAGGGAAGCTGGGCTCAGAGCAGCTTTCCTCCTCGCCCCTGTGGGGCTCCGCAAATTCCCTCACGTGGATCTCCACAGGTGTTCCATTTAATGCACAATGTATAACATCCGCTCACATGTCAACCTCGCTCTCTAGAATGAACCACACAAAAGGAGGATCCCAGGAATCCCCTGCTGGTCCAGTGGCCAGGACTCTGTGCTTTCACTGCCGGGACCCAGGTTCAGTGTCTAGCTGGGGAACTAAGATCCCGCATGGCTGTGAAAGAATTTGTATTAAAAAATAAGAAGGGGCCCCTGGATGGCAGTGGGTGGTGGCCTGAGCTAGCTGCCGACTACGCTCCCAGAGACAGAGCAGAGCGAGAGGGCTTGACAACGGGGCTGATGCCAGGGAGGAGGAGGACGGCTCCGAAACACCTGGCCTGCTAACTGGGCGGCCCGGCGCTGCCTTCACAGGAGAGAGCAGCTGAGGGGCCAGGTCTGCTTCTAGACAAGAGACGTCATCTGGAGACGCCGGGTGTCGGGGTCTGGCAGCACCTGAGCACACAGGCCCGCGGGGCTCAGAGGATGAGCGGGCCCAAAGTCCCAGACCTGGAAGCTGTCCGGCTCGCAGAAGACACCTGACTCCCGCCTGGGGTAAGCCCGAGTCTGTGGCCGAACAGACCCCAAATCTCCTGCTAAAACTTTCCCTGCAGGAAGATTGACTCCCTGACACTGCGTGGACTGTGATGAGACTTGGAGCAGGATGGTGATGCACACCAGCCAGCCCAGAGGGCACATGCCTGAGTGTGCCATCTGCCAGGCACAGCAGACAAGCTACCTTGAGATGCGCTGTCAAAGGACTTGATGAGGGTCTTCACCGTGGGCGTCGGCTCCGAGGACGTCGAGGACCTTCTGCTCAGCCCCATGCCCTGCCTCAGGGCCGCCAGATCTCTCTCCACAGCATTCATGTAGTTATACACCCGGCCACGCTCCTCCTCCTGCCTGAAAACAACACGCAAGTCAGGGCACTTCTGCATATACCCTAGAAAACACACACTTCCCTTTCCCAGCTGAGAAGCATTAGAAACTATCAGCTAAAAAAACAGCGATATCACTTGAGCTGAGTAAACCACCTGGTCTGATAATCTCATTAGATTCGTGAATTCCGGGAAACGACATTAAAATTCTTACATCAGGTCATCCTGACTAGGTTAAGTAACCATCGGTCTCCATTTCCATCTGTGTTACGTCTAAGGTGAGAACACTGGCAATGAGCAGGGAGAGGGAGGCGGCCTGGCTGAAGATCCTGACTCAGGACAGGGCCCGAGAGGTCTGGGCTGCCGGGAAGGCCTGTGCTGTCCCGGGAGGGCGAATCTGGCTCCATCCCACGTGCCATTCAGGCTTCCCCGGTGGCTCAGGAGTAAGAATTAGCCTGCAATGCAGGAGACGCAAGAGACCCTGGGTCAGAAAGATCCTGTGGAGGAGGAAAGAGCAACCACCCCACTATTCGTGAATGGAGAATCCCACGGACAGAGAAGCCTGGTGGGCTACAGTCCACGGCGTCACAGAGAGTTGATACAACTCAGTCACTAAACACCACCAAAACAACAAAGAAAAAAAGAATAGCAGTGTTTCAACATTTCTGCAAACCTCATTAATGTCTAGGTTAAGAAGACGGTCAAAAAAAAAGACGGTCAGATTCTCATTTCTTCTGTATTCAATCTATTGCGATATGAAAAAAAAAAAAAGCAGGCTCATGGGTATGTAGTTGGAAAAGGCAAAAGTATCTTAATGATATTGCACTGGTCATACAGAAATAATAGCTCACAGAGTTACACATTATTTCCCAAATGTTGATGCCTATCATTAAACGGTTTATTTTTAAAGTCTCTTGTTGGTATCACTAGTGATCTCATCAGGAAACCCTTTATGGGGAGCTGCTGAGCTTGCAATGGCAGATACAAGTTTTCCAAAATCCTAACATTTACTTAAAAGCCCATGTTTCATCACTGGTGCCAAACACTGTCAGTTGTTTCCTTGAAGTGATAGGCTCCTTTAATTGTTTCCAAGAAATATCCACCAAACACCAAAGTCTGAATACCAACAGCTCGAGTCAGTCATTCTCAAGTAAGGATTTTCCCTCCATGAAAACATGCGGGGCTCTCCTCCAGCCCCCCACACCGGTGCATGACGATGTGGCAACGCGACTCCCACCTGGACCTCAGGACTGAGACAAGTGATGGGATAATTCACTGCTGCACCAAGGACTGGAAGGAAAACTGCTCTGTGAAAACGCGAGTGGCTGGGATGGGCAGCACAACTGGGAGCCAGGGCCTGGGTCCCCCAGCAATCCACGCCTGCCTTCCCCTCCATGGGCAAGAGGCAACACAGTGCAGAGAGCAAACGCCTGTCAGTGTCCCTATAAAAGCAGTCTGAGCTCAGAGAGCCCCTGAAAGGGCTCCGGGGGCCCCCGGGCCTGCAGACCCCCTCCTCTCAGAGGCTCGCCCGGGGAGCATGCGTCTCAAGGCCTGACAGGCTCTCGGGAGCCCGTGGACCAAGTCTCAGAGCCCAGCCTGTCAGCTGCGGTACCTCTCGGGTGGAGCATTTCTGACACACTGCTCCCGCAGTGGTGGAGAGGAGGAAGGGTGTGTACGAGCAAAGAAGTAACGAGCTCCCCACTCACTCCATGTGCTGCTCAGTGAAGAAGCCAAAGAGAAACAGCTCACCAAGACTCTCCACCAGGCCATCCACTAGACCCAGGCGGCGATAAAACACAACAGCTTGTCAAGTTGGCCTGTTACATGTTTTTCTAAATTTTCCCCTAGGGCTATTTAAGAATTGTTCAACGTAATCAACAATCAAATTCTTAATACTAACCTCCAACTCTGACACTTAGAGAGAGATACTTGGGGCTTCCTGGTGGCTCAGCTGGTAAAGAACCTGCCTGCGGTGCAGGAGACCTGGTTTGAGAAGGTCCCCTGGAAAAGGGCAAGGCTACCCACTCCAATATTCTGGCCTGGAGAATTCCAAGGACTGTACAGTTCATGGGGTCACAAAGAGTTGGACACAACTCAGCAACTTTCATTTCACTTAATAAAAAAAAAAATCTCAGAAACCAGTCTCTCCCCTCACACACAGTCTCCCTAGGAACTCGGGGTGCATCATCTAAGACTTCTCACAGGATTCCAAAGATGTCTATGTTAAATGGGAGAAACTCCATGGGTTATGAGCACAAGACACTCTTCAAGCGAGCAGCAGAGAGAAATCGGCCTGCATTCTTCGCTCGCGTCTCTGAGACACCCACTGACGGACACTGGCCATGGCCCTGAGCAGTGTCCAGGTGTCTCATTTCAGCCCCATAACAACTCTGTGATGGAAGCAGCACTGTGTCCACTGCAGAGACGGGCAAACTGAGGTCCCGACCGAGACCCAAGGCCAGCGGCAGCAGCAGCTGCACGGGGCCGAGTCTGTCTGTCTCCAGGGTGTGCACCCTCCGTGACGATGACAGCCCCGGGAAGAGCAAGGGGCTGGGACGGGGGCAGGGGACAGGCAGAAACCGCGATGGACCAGGTGCTGTGGCCACTCCAGCCCCTCCAGAGCTGGGGACTGTGGACGCTGACGACAGCTCAGAAAGACCACGGGGCCGGTGCTACTTTACAGGGTGACTCAAGGACTGACAGGCTCTGGGGAGCCCGTGGGACGAGCTTGGGCTTGGGTCACTTCCATTCGACCCAAACTCGGTCACAGCAGCATCAAGACACAGTCTCCCTCTAAAGTCACATCACAGAACCAGGACTCACAAGCTCCCTATGGAAACTGAAGGGCACAGCTGGCTTCCCAAACTTACTTGCGTGACTTTATCTCCTCCAATTCTTTTGTGAGCTTCTCATTTTTCTCTTGAGTTTCATGTAAGCGGCGCTTCAGGTCACCAATCTCCTCTTGGGCTTCAGACTTAATGTCATTTGCGATGACCACCGCGGTCTGCAGATCAGCCTGGAACTGCCGCCATTCCGCTGACTCCTCCTGCATTAAAAAACCATGTTTTTATTTCCAAAAGAGAACAATGAACATGTATTTTAAAACAATAAAATGTGCTTATGATTAGACTGCTGTAATGCACTGTCTCAAGTGATGACTGATTTCTTTTAAGTCCCAGAAAACTGCTAGTACCTATTTCTAACAGATTACAATAATTATTTTTAGTGAACGGTGTTCCTGGTGAGGAAAAGTTGCCAGCTGACCTGCTTGCTGAGGCAGCAAGCACTTAGGCTGCTCACGTAAGGATAATCAGGTCAGGCCTCGCTTCCTTGAGGCAAGCTTCAAAGTTAGTCTTGTGAAAATAAACATATCATCCAAAATATGCCTCTGAAGAGCTCAAGCAGGTAGATACATGGTGTGTGAACTACACTGTAAGATTTTACAGTGAAAAACTATAAATATCCTGACATCAAAAATGAACAGGAAAAAAAAAATCAAAAGGAAAGGAAGAGGAAGCCAGAAGGAAAACACTAAATTTAGCCTCAGCAGACAAAACACACACCAGGAGGAGTGAAGGACTGTCCACACAGTGGCCAGTGTGTGGAGGACAGTGAAGGACTGCGGCCTCCCACGGCCACGGAGGCTGCAGGCGTGGCTGGGCTGCTGCCCAGGGCGGCGCCGCCAGGAGCCATGGCCGCCACCCCGGAGGCAGCGCCCAGCACCCCTCAGCAGCCTGAGTGACGGAAAGACATAAAGAAAGAGAGACTGTGCTAAATCGTGTCTGGCTCGTGTGACCCCATGGGCTGCCGCCTGCCAGGCTCCTCTGTCTACGGGATGTTCCAGGCAAGAGTACTGGAGTGGGTTGCCATTTCCTTCTCCAGGGGATCTTCCCGACCGAGGAATTGAACCCAGGTCTCCCGAATTGCAGGGTCAACCCAAACCTCAAGACTGGCATCCCCCGCCCTCTGCATCAGAGTGTCACTGCCGTCGCAGACCGATCAAACCCACAGAAGACAGCCCACAGAGGGCAGCTCAGCTTGGGGCCCTCCATGACCAAGGGCTCACGTCCCCTCTCTGAGGCGCTGGCCTCGCTCCCGCCTGCAGCCCAGTGGCTCTGGGTCACGGCGGCACCCGCGGGCGGGCGGAGGCACCGGCGCAGCTCTCAGGGAGCGGTGCTTCCCAACCGGACGGCACGTGCGCGCTTTCCTACCCGCAGTCGCCTGTGGAGGGTCTTGATTTCTCTTTCCATGTCATGTTTTTGGTCCTGGAGTTTTTTAACCGTATCTGAAAAGACCACAAAAGTTTAACTATTTATTCTTAAACCATGTTTAAAAGGAAAAATAGAAAGGGAGAGGGTACTTAAATATGTTATTCAAAAAGTCATCCTGCCCAAAGACATTCTGTTTTTAATATAAAACTTGAAAAGGAATTCCAATTCAAGTATAAACCAGTATGACTCTTTAAGGAAAATATCAAATTTAAATTGCAATTTCTGGATGACTTCCTTCCGCAGCGTCCTAATTGTGAAACAAAAAGCTAAGCTAAATCAACTGTTAGAAACACACACACACTGTTGGCTCATAACCAATCAAAACAACATTGACTGCAATTAAAATGGGAGCTTTTAATCAAAAGGGTTATTAGCCTATTTTTATAAGCGTAACTTAACTTTGCACACTGCAATAAATTCCAGAAGAGTCGTGAATTTACTAAAATTTTTACAAACTTAATTATTTAATAACTTGGGGGAGCTGCTACTTAATTCTATAGGAAGTCTTTTCACAAAGGATTAAGTAAATCAATATTCCTCAAATTATTTCTTGCATAACGTGAATTTCCTTCAAACAACGTCATGCAGCATGAACATCTGATGAGCACCGCTAATGTGCAAAGGCTGCTCTAGACAGACCAGGGCTGCCAAGAGGAGCAAGCAGACAAGGCCGTATCCCAGAACCCAGGCATGCACAGGGAAGTCGCTTTCTACTACTCCGAAAAGTCAGCTTTTTATGAAATAAAAAGTGAATCACTTTTACTCAGTAATTCAAGAAAATGCTCATAAGTATCTACTTTGTGTCAGATTTTTGCACAAGGTACCTGAGATATAAGGAAAGGGGGGAAAAGGTGCAGTTCCTACCCTTTCAGAAACAGAAAAGAGGGTGTTTTCATTGCAAAGGATTAAACTTTAACAGTCTGTCTCTACACAGCTGCTTCAGATCTCACTTCACCTAGAAACTCAGGGGTCAAAAGGGCCATCCCATTTGGCTCAGGGCAAAGTGGGAACACAGGTGAGTGGGCAAGTCCAGTACCTCTAGGTGAGGGTAGCTCTGGAATCAGAGGGAACTGGTCTGTCTGACCTACGTGTAGATGAAATTGGGGTCTTGGTGATATCAGCAGACACAGTCAAGGAACAAGGACAGAAGCTGTCACATTTCCAGTGTGGAAAACACTAGGGGTCACACACCTTTCATTTATAGTACACTTACGTGCAAAAAACTTTACAGTTAAAACAAGCAAAACAGAAAAGTGAGCATCTCTCCTCTGCTGAAAACTGCTCCCCTTCCCTCCTGGTGGCAGATGACCTGTCGTGTACGGCAACTTACACAAGACACATCACTGCAGCTCTTACTGCCCTTTTCTCAGGTGACGCTTTAAGCCACACGGCCATCTCAGGCTCACCATAAAAAGCCCAGGCTTCATTCTTTGCTCTTATCCTTTTCTCTTTACCAGCCTCTGCGTTCACGGCCACAGGATCCACATAACCACGGCTCTCAAAGGACACTCCTTCACCCTCAGCACTGCGCGCTCACTGCTGCCGTGAGTCCCCTTGCACAGACGCTGACAGCCAGTGGACATATTCAGGCTGAATAAAGCACTTCAGGAGTCTCCAGGGAATCTTCTTACTCATACCTTACAGAAGCACGAGAAGTGACAACTGGCTCCTCCTCCCTGGAAACACGGGCGTCGGTGGTCCAGTCCTGGCTGTGAGGAGGCGGAGCAGTGGCCTGACACAGGGCAGCGTGGGGCCTCTACCCACAGCTCCCGCCTCACGGCCCTGAGTGGGAGAGACGCTGACATCTACTGCCTCCCTCTCACACCCCACAGCATCAAAGGACAGAACCACACCGACCACCCTTTCTAAGTTTTAACTCAACTTAACAACGCTGCTTTCACTCCAGAAATCCGCAGGCCTCTGTCCTCATTGTCACTGGGCCAGCCTTGCTCTGCACAATTCTGGGCACCGCCCTGCCCATCTAACAGCGGGCTTCACAGTCTTCCCACCGGCAAGACCCAGCATCGACGACAAACCAGAACTGTCAGCCGGGCCTCCGCGCCACTTCCGGCCGCAGGCCCGTCCCCGCTGCGGGCGCCGTGGGCAGCAACCACACCATGGGACCCCCACCCCCACAACCCCTGCGGTGTGACGGGAGCACAGTCCCCACAAGCTTCCTGCCCTCCGATACCAGAAGATACCCAGTGCTCAGCCGGGCCCCTGCAGCTGGTCAGGGCCGACAACGGCCATCAGGTGTAGTTTTCAGAGGCAGGGAGGACCCAGGAACCGGACAGCTAAAGCTGCACCCCTCAGGACCAGGGGTGGGGCAGTGGGCAGCCAGCTACCACGCCACAGCTGTACCCCCAAAACAGAGCCCCTGATGCAGGAGGAGGATATGCGTGAGTTGAAAATAAACCATTTACTACTTTTATTTATCTTCGTTTTTTATGTTTTGGCCATGCCTCACAGCATGCAGGATTTTAACTCCCCACCCAGGGACTGAACCTGCGTCCCCTGCGTTGGAAGTGTGCAGGTTTAATCCAGTGGACTGTCAGGGAAGTCCCTATTGCTATTTTTTTAATTTTTATTTTACTCATTTTTATCCCTCCCCTCAAAATGTGGATGTAACTTTTACCCCTTGATTCTAAAAGTAATACACATTTACAGAAAAAAAAAAAAATTATACTGTCTCTACTGCTTTACAAGCTCTCCCACTAGTCAGTAGATACTGGACACTTTTGTCAATAAATACGACCCGCAGCACCATTCTGATGGCCACGTTCATACTCCGTCAATTGGAAGCATCATGATTTGTCTCCGCAACCTCCTATTAACAGACAGTCAGAATGGCTCCAGCATTTCCCACAGACACTACGAGTGCCTTCAGCTGCTCAGATGCAACGAGGACACACCTCCAGAAGGAGAGGTGCTGAAGGGCCACCTGATCCGAGTCGGCCCACCTGCTCCAGAACACAGAATTCTTCCTGAGAAGTCACCAAGTTAGGGACTGGACGCAACAGAATGCACTGAAATCGGTGTTTCTTTAGGAACGCCATTCTGGCCGGCTACAGTCTGTGTCTGATGTCTATTAAAACTGCCACGGTCTTAATCACAGAAGCAACACCCCGGCTCATCCCCTGGGGCGTGCCTTCTCTCATGCACGCGTCTCTCTGGCCTGTGCACACTGACCTGGCTTGCCCACCCCAGCTGGTCAAAGGGCAGCCGTGGCAGGGACGCACCACGCCCACGGGCTTCTAACTAGCCCTCACCTGTTGAAAATACAGGTAATTCCCTGGCCTCTGTGGTGACCTGCAACTCGGGAGCACCCACACCTATGTGTACAGCTGCAACTCTTAAGGATGTCTCTGAAGAGCAGATTTCTGCAAGCAGGTTGCTATCGCACTGTTATACTTGTAAAAATTCTCATCAATACTCCAGAAAGGACCCTTTTCTCCTCTCTTACATGTTAGGTCTCTTTTTAATTCTTCACACCTGCATCTAGTTCTGAGTTTCATTGCTTTCTTCAGAAGTCAAGCATCTTCCTGTATCTTTCTCTCACTTAATTATTTATGTACTTCATTTAGCTAATGGGTTATTCTAGTCTTACTGAACCTCTCTACGGATCTGATATCTATCACAAATACTTCTCCCAATGCCATTTATTAATAATTCTGGTACTCCACTGGACTGAAAATTTTAATCATACACAGTCAACATGACCCTTCTCCATGAAGGCTCCCCAGTACCCTGCCTTCCAGGTCTTCTCATCACAGCAGGAAACAGCTTTCCTCTTCCTGCTCTTGCCTATTCTCTCGTCTCGAGCCGCCCATGCTCACCACGGTCATCAGCTTCCACGTATCAGGATGCCAGGCCCTAGCTGGTCTGAACCTCAGGAACTGCAGAGGGCAGGCAGGGCAGAGTGCAGCTGCACGCGTGCGCAGAACAGGGCTACGCAGACAGCGCGTGGGAGGTGAGGCCACAGCTAAGATGGGCCTGAGGTCTTGCTGGTGTCACTGTTCTCAATACGAGTCAGCTGCGTTCTGATCGGCACGTCAGCAGCTGTATTTTGGAGGCTCTGCTGAACCGTTTCTTTCTGCTGTTCTCCTCTAAGCTCTTCTAAGATGTTAAAAGCCGCGTTCCTAGTGGCTCAGCGGCAAGGAATCTGCCTGCCAATGCAGGAGACAGAGATTCGATCCCTGGATCAGGAAGATCCCCTGGAGAAGGAAATGGCAACCTGCTCTAGCATCCTTGCCTGGGAAATCCCATGGACAGAGGAGCCTGACAGGCTACAGTCTATGGGGTCGCAGAGAGTCGGACTTGGCTAAACAACAAGTATTAAAATGTCTATTAAGTCCTAGCTGGTCTTTCTTACTTAACAAAGAATGATTCGCATCAGACACTCCTGAGTGCTTCTGGAAGGAACAACCAGCTAAAGGAAGGCTCCTGAGGATAGGAGCCTCTGGTGGGCGTGGAGGGGACGCACTCTGGACGTACAAGTGGGAGAAAGCGGTTTCTGCAGAGGCGACGGGTGTGTGCGCGTGCCCGTTTCAAGGCGGGGCTGAGCTGCGCGCCCTCTGTGTGGTCCCCTTTTCAAGACAACACGGAGCCTGCAGCCACCTCAGGCACAGTACGAGGGTCGTGGTGCTGGGGCCCTGGGCCCGTATTCCCACCTTCCTTAGACGAGCCCAGGATGGCGTCAGGCCGACAGAGGAGGGGGTGTGAGGACCCCCAGGGCCTTATGTCTCGGCTTCAGACCCCACGGGGAGGTTTGATGCCCTCAGCCCCAGGGCGCGGCTGGGGACATCACTACTGAGAGGTGCACAGTTCTCTGGGCCACAGACCTCTTTGTTCCCACTGATGCCCAGGTCCAACTCCATCGGCTTTACATAAAGTGTTCCAGGGACCACTCAGAGCTCTTGGCCTACGGACAGGATCCTTCCCGTGTTCTCTCTGCTCTAGTGTTCAGAGTATTTTTATCTCTCTCCTGCCGTGTCACCAGCACTCTGGGAGGGAA